CCAGACTGCGGTGGTCGTCATGTGCAGGTTTCGGGGCGGTGAGCGACTCCATCTACGTTGCGGCGACATTCCTCGTTGGAAGTCCCGAGGAGGTGAGCGGCTATTCCACGTTGCGGTGATCTTCCTCTTTGGAAGTTCCGCGGAGGTGAGCGGTTCCATCCTTGTAGTTGTAGTGAGTCAGCTCGTCCTGGTATAAATCCACTGCGTCCTAGCTCATAAGGACTCATATTGGACTGATATCCTCGCCCGTAATCTTGCTCAGGTCCTTGGCGTCCACGTCGCTCAACATTAAGTCCACAATGATCATCCCCCGGCACAGGTGGACCCACTTGTGGTCCACCTTTGGTGTACCATAGCTCAGATCCAGGTCCTTGCGAGCTCTGCATCAGTCCTTGACCCAGATAGTATAGTGCAGTTCCCAAAGCAGGAGGTGGACCAAGCGATTGGCCACTCTCCCACTGGCTTTTCATCGCCGCTGGTACAGCAAGTTGCACCTCTTGGTGTCCTGTATGCACTTGTCCATCCTTTTGTTCTTGTTCTCTACCTTGCATATGGCTAGCAGGAGCTCTCAGCTGCAGTTGTTGCGGTGTCGTTGGCACGTTCGGGTGTACTGCAGGTGTACACTTGGACTCGAGTCCGACTGCCGACGTCTTCACCTCTTCAGCCAGATTCTCATCTTCAGCCTCACTGCTTGCAGGTGTTGTCACCGAATACACGGGAGACATGTGTGCAGCCGTCGCCACACCATCGTTGTTCCCATCGTTATTCGCCAGTCGTGTCGTCGCACACAACGAGAGACCCGAGAATAGGGCTCGTTGCTCACTGTCAGACTGGGCAACTTCAACTCGTCTCACCGAGTTGATGAGGGAAGCTGGCGACTTCTTGTGCTTCAACTTGCTCTTAAGTCTCTTGGCCAGGTCTGGTCTCAGTTGCATGCCAGTCTGCGCAGTGCATTCTGCATACCAGTGACCATCTCCATTGCAGTTAGCGCAGGCTGTGTGCTGCTTCTTCTCAGCTGTAACCTTTGCCTTCTTGCGCTGGTTCTTCCCACGTTTCTTTCCCGACTCACGTCCACTTCCACTGTTGTGTCCATGTCCGTAGCCTTGACCTTGTCCTCGTCCTTGTCCTTGGCCAGTACCAACCTGCGCGACTTGCATTGTCCGCGTTGTAGGCCGGCTCGTCTGCTGTTGCAGCTGATCACGCTGATGTTCAGCAGAACGCAGGCGCTGCAATGCCTCGGACAGCTTTAGGTCACGTCGGTCGTGTTGGTTGATCCAGTCTGCGTGTTCACGCGCGAGATCTCGAAATACCAACACGCAGTTTGATAGAAGTAGGCTTGCATGTTGCCATTCTTCAAATTCACCATTTCCTTGACGCAGGAGTGTCACCTTTCGTCCGATGTCCTCCACGTACGCAGTAACGGACTCGTTCGGTTGTAATCGGCGAGTCACCAAGTCCTGTAGCAAGTAGTCAGAATTGATGCCGTCTCCAGCCTCAAAGTGTTTGGTAATCGCTGAATACAGCATTGCTGCCGCATCCATGTTGTCTCTTATCTCATCGATCTTGAACGTAATGCGTAAGTCCACAGATAGAGATAGGGCCAACGCGGAGAACGCCTTGTTCTTTCGCGTCGCATACCACTCATGATACTTAGGGCGACGTATACCTTCCTCTTCGTCATATCGCTCTCCTCCATACGTAATGTCGCCTAGCGAGCGCGTCTCGAAGTGCAACGGCACCTCGCTTCGCCACGCTTTGTAGTCTTCTTTCTTGTGAAGCTTAGGCAACACAATGCTTGCGGAGTTGCGCAACGCCTTGGTGTGGTCGGACAGCTCCTTGTCGTCGTACCGACCACCGGGGTTCATGTTGTCCAGGCTGCTCTCTCCTCGGCTCGTGTAGCTTCGTCCACTGCCAACCGATCCTTGGCTCGACGGTGGTGGAGGCGGAGGGGGCGGATTTTCAACTGGCCCCGTTTCTTCGATTGTGTTCGAATTCTGCATACCTTCGAGTAACACTCGAAGCAACGGTCGCCCACCAGTAATTCCGACCAATGAGCGAATTAGTCGCTCAGCATCAGATTGCGATAATGTCGCATCATCCGGGCCATTCAGTCTTTCGACCAATCCCGGGGAATCTTCTCCTTGATTCGTCAAAACTTCTTCTTGTGTGTTTTCAACACCAGAGTCCACGTCAGTCGATCGCTGCGCCCTGATTGGGCTCATAACCTGAGATGACGCATGGCGCGTCACCGGGCTCTCCGACCTTCTATCACTACGTAACGTAGGTGCCATAAGCACAGACTTGTAGGGCAGTAGGTGTAGAGCAAGTAGGAATAGAATGTAAGACACGTGAGTGCCGGGCAAAGTACCACGACAGGACCACGGAGTTCTGGTGCTTGCTGTCTCTCACTCGTTGTGCACGCAGCACAGCAAAAGCAGTTGTGAGAGTGAGAGCTGCCAGCACCTGAACCTCCATGTTCCGCAAAGTTAGATTAGCACATACTCAGTCTAAGATAGTCTATAGAAAGCTAAGTAGTTCACCATCACCTGCAACGCAGTTGCAGTTGCTCACCGCCACCAATGTCGTCCTTCATACAGTCCTTGGTATCTTCCGCACGCCGCTCGCACGTGAGCGCGTTGCAGACCGGTACGCCGGGATGCAGTACATGCATAGACACGCGTAGGATTGTAGGTTGGATCGGTAGTACTGGTATTGCCAGTGTCTTGGGCTGTGGCAATGACGTCTGGCACTGGACACTGGCAGACCATAGCAAGTAGCATCTCACAGTAGCAGGATAGCATCTCACAATGAGATGACGCATGGCGCGTCACCGGGCTCTCCGACCTTCTATCACTACGTAACGTAGGTGCCATAAGCACAGACTTGTAGGGCAGTAGGTGTAGAGCAAGTAGGAATAGAATGTAAGACACGTGAGTGCCGGGCAAAGTACCACGACAGGACCACGGAGTTCTGGTGCTTGCTGTCTCTCACTCGTTGTGCACGCAGCACAGCAAAAGCAGTTGTGAGAGTGAGAGCTGCCAGCACCTGAACCTCCATGTTCCGCAAAGTTAGATTAGCACATACTCAGTCTAAGATAGTCTATAGAAAGCTAAGTAGTTCACCATCACCTGCAACGCAGTTGCAGTTGCTCACCGCCACCAATGTCGTCCTTCATACAGTCCTTGGTATCTTCCACACGCCGCTCGCACGTGAGCGCGTTGCAGACCGGTACGCCGGGATGCAGTACATGCATAGACACGCGTAGGATTGTAGGTTGGATCGGTAGTACTGGTATTGCCAGTGTCTTGGGCTGTGGCAATGACGTCTGGCACTGGACACTGGCAGACCGTAGCACGTAGCATCTCACAGTAGCAGGATAGCATCTCACAATAATCATAATGGTCGTCACATCATAAGTACATTTGTCCGGATCCAGGCAACCTTGGTTCACCTTACTACACGTGTACGCTCTTCATGGATCTGAGCTATCTAATCTTCCCAAATTGTCATACGACCGCCTGCGATCTCCATCACTCCACGAAAGTTCGAGATCCGTTGCATCCAACATCCCCATATCCTGGATCCAAGTCACTCCGTGTGGGATCCTCACCCCCTTGGATCCGGACTCGGAAGTGTGGGATGTGAGACTTATGGCGGTGGATCTTGCCTTCTCGTTTGTCGTTGATACCAGTTCCACCTTCGAATGGCGTCTACCATCCTTCCTTCATTGGATTCCCACTTGATCCACCTGCACAAGGTATATTCCATATCCCCTAGGTGTAATCAGGTGAGGATGGATCCGAGTCTCCAGTTGGTGGATCCCGCCTCCCCATACGTTATCCATGCCAGATCCATCGTCAACCCATACAGGATGCCACTTTACCTTGGACAATCCACTTCGAGCAGCGTGGATCCATGCCGGGCAATCCAGATCCTTCCAAACCGCCACTAATCTGTGACCCCTTGTCAGATCCAGTCTCTCTTTCTAAGAAAGCACTTCACCACAACAGCGACGGCCTGGCAGTTATCTTAGCGCTTTAGAAGAATATAGGAAGGGCTATTGTACTGCAATGATTGCACTAGTCGGATTTAAATAAAAATATGCGTGTGATATGCACACATCCTGAATTTGGTAAGGGAATATACATATTTCCCCCGCCCCTCCGTCGGATAGCGACAATGCTGATGCCGGGGTCTCCGCGCCCGGGTACGCCCGCTCCTCAAGATGAGGTCGACGGCGTGTATCGCTCCCTGTTCCAGCAGCCAGTGGTGGAAATTCCTCCGACCGCTCCGTCTTACGCCTGGTTCGAGTTTCTGCTGCAGCCGGAGGCACTCCAGAAACACGTACGTGAATCGCTGTCCTCCAATAAAAAAGCCACCAACTCACTGCTCGACTTGCAAATATACTGCCATCACTTTTGCTCCACAGCTGACCACCCTCCGCCAGCAAAAGAAGGCTGACGTACACAGCGCCACGTCCGCCATCGAGTTGGTGCGCGAGTTCCTGGACCAGGCGCAACTGGTTGCTGATGAGGGCAACGTACGCAATAAACGCTACAGTGCGCTACTGCTGGTAGCGGCCCAAGTGGCGCTGCAGATGCAACTGCCACTATCCGTCATCGAGGAGGCGCTACCCCTGCACTTCCAGCGACTGCTGCTCGACGGTATCGTAGACTTCGCCGAGCAGCCGTCCAGCCGCCGCAGCGAGTTTACAAATGCCATTACCCTTCAGCCCTACGAGGCGCATGTGCTGCACAACCGCTGGACACTGCGCACACTCGTGAACCAGTCCCAGAACGGATACTTGACCTGCAGTACGCGCGGCGAGGGCGAGGAGATCTCGTCCACGTACCAGATGGCGCTGGGCGATCTCATGGCCAATCACCTTCAGATCGCGCAGAACATTCAGACGATTCTCATGAAGGACGAGAAGCAAAAGCTCTCAGTGCTGGCACAGCTGGAAACATACTACGACCTGGGCATGTATTTTTTCAGCTTCAACGGGTTTGAAAAGGCCTACAGCTGTTTCAGTCGAGCCTCGGAGCTTGTGGACGACGCAGAAAATGGTGATGTGGAGGATGGAGGTACCACCAATTCGTCTGCAGACGTTCGAGCGAATCTGGAAGGATACCTCGCTGCATGTGAAGCAGTGCTGGAAATGCAGTCGGTGAGCGAGAGTCCCTCAGTCCTCAAGACACCAAAGTTACAGATCGCAATGGCCTGGGAAGGTCGAGAATGGGACAAAGTAGTTGAACTCCTTGAGAATGATATCGTAGCCTCGGACCTGGATCGACTGCCACTAAGTTATCGTGCGGCGCTGGAGCAGCAGGCTCTGCGACTGTTGCGATCCAGTAGCAACAACTCAGTAGAGTACGATCCGCAGATTTCCACTCATACCATTCGCTTTTTCTACAAACGGATTGTGATGGAGAATGCTGTGATGAAGCTTGTGTTTGACGCCAGTCAGGGAGAAGCCAGCTCACTAGAGACTTGCGTCTGTGTCTGCATCCGACTGCTTCAGGACGAGATCTTTCACACCACAGTGATAGGTACCAGTCCTGATAGCGAGACCAAGAAGCATTTTGCAGTGCTAGCTCGCTTTGTGCTGGCGCTTAGTGGCTCTGTATGCTCAAACGGGCCTAATAGCAGCGCGAAATTACGAGTCAAGCGGTTCGTTGTCCAAGTTCTCCGTCATTTTCCCTGCATTGCGGACTTGGCGGGCATGTCAGCGCTGCTTCGACGATGTGGTGATGTCCATGCTACGAAAGACATCGTATCTGTGCCGTTTGCAGAAACTTTGGATAGTTTGGTGAGTGGGGAGGGCCGTCTTCGCCATGCGGTGACCAAGCAAAGGGGACACTTTCGCGTGATGACAGACGTGGGGAGCATATTTGCGCTCTCAAGTGCGAAGGAGAAGGAATTTTTCTTTGCTTCTCTTCAGCAGGAGCTTGACAACGTGCCCAATAGTGGGGAATCAGACGACAAAAAGAGTGCGATTTCACAGAATCTAATCGCATTTTTCGCGGCTAACAACTGCTGGGAAATACTATCTCAGTGCAAGGCGGTGCCGCCAGCTTCATCACAGTTGCATAGCGAACTGGAGTTTGTAGAAGCGTGTGGAGCGCTGTCTCAGTACTTGTCGTCACTAGCAGCGTCTCCTCTCTCAATCGGTGCACCGAATGCCAAAGCTGGTGGCGATGCATCGGTTGTATCAATTGTTGAGAACGCCGAGCTCTCCGTTTTGGCGAGCAACAAGTTCATGGCCGATATTTTGCTAAAGTGGTGTAAGTTGGTGAACGCAGTCCGTGGAAGCGTAGTGGATGGTGCCAGCAACGATAAGCATTCTGGGGGGAGGCCCAAGCACGTGCTTTTGGCTCTTCCTTTATGGATCGTGGAGACGCTGGTGTGCGCTTCCGCAGGTCTGTTACACCGCGCATACATGCGCAATGCCTGTGGCTACCGTGTATCATTTGATCTTACTCCGTACGGCGACCTGGCGTTTCTGGAGGCATTTGCATCTGATACGTCGCCGGTACCATCAGTATCTGGCCCTGCTAGCAATGGCACTGCCGAAAACTCGGATACGCAGTTTGCAACAGTGCCGTTTGTACGAAACTTTCAGGAGGATTTGGTGGGATTACATTCTAGAGCTCTCGAGAGCTTAGTGTGCCGTTGCGGTCGTGAGCCAAGGTGGCATTGTGCAAAGGCTGACTTACTGCTCAATCCACTGTCAAAGCAACGATTGGCTTCGACCTCGGGTGAGCCTTAATGTGCAGACCCTATTTGGGTTTCTCTAATGTCGTAAATGCTGATACAGATCCGCTCGCTGCTCTCAAGGGTTACCTAGTAGCAGCCTCGTTGGCAACCAATTTCTTTTCCGACATGGTCTCCGTGGTCGACATCATCGATCAAAGCTCGCTTGTCCGATTGGTACGTGACCCTATCGAGTTTGCTACGTGTGATATGCTTACCCTTTTCTGTTTTGTCTACGATAGAGCCAATGTCTTGCTAAAGTTGGGGCGCGCGTTGCAGCCGCTGTGCTTTACCAGTGTTTTATGCCTGAAGAGTTTAAATACGGTCTCCGAATCTTACGCATGACACCCGAGTCTCACGACGAGGCATTCTTTCAGTACTTTTGGGAGGTAATGCTACGGTTTGGGAGGATTCTTATGATTTAATGATGACGTGGACTCACTTCGCACTTACAACGTATGTGCTGCAGCTACCTTTCCTTGAGCTGCTGGTGGACCTGCACTCAAGCCCAAAATACCTCAATGATAGGTCGGTGTGAATTGTCAAGGCTTTAAGTTGCTGAGTCTGACATGATGTGCGTCGCTTGCTCTATTCAGACACGTGACACTGCTTACGAACCTGATCCAGTCACCCGAATTGAACAGCTCAAATCCCTCTCCGGTCATCAAGGACGCGGAGCAACGCTTTCTTCGCTGCTACTTCCGGGACTTGTGCCGAATCTACCTCACCGAATAAATAAAAATGCCACGTGTTCCAATTGACTGCACTCAAGTTCTGGATGTTCCGTTGTGCACGGTTTAGAGCAGAGCTCGCAGGTGATATTTTTTTACCAGGGAAAGGAGAGTTTCACCATTTTTCAAGGATCAAGCATAGCGACTATTTATCGCCTCTACTGATGACTATGAATAGAGCCAAATGCTGACCCAAATTGGCTTCCACATAACAATCTGCACAAGTTCAAAGCACCAGCAACGAGGAGCAACCAGGAGAGATGGCGTCCACCACGACGCCCAGGAACACACTACTCGGGGCGACCAACTATGAACCACGGCTGCGGTCGCATCTCAAGCCGCAGCGCTTCAAGCTCGTCGAGCAGTCCTTGCGCCTGGACAGCAGTCTGAACCAGAGAAATCCGCTCTCGACTCGACTAGACCTACGAGACTCCGAACGCTTTGATACGACGGCGAATGACATTGGCAAGCTGGCATGTGAGGACCTAGAGGAGAGCATTTTCGCACCCCAAAACGTGCGAAAGGTGCTGCGGTTCCAGAGTTTTTACGTTGAGAGCGTGGACGAGAGCAACCTCGAAGTTGTTCGGTTACGCAGAAATACCATCCTGCTGTACCTGCACGACGAAACGTTTGAGATAATTGAGCCTCGAGAACGCAACAGCGGTATCCCTCAGGGCACTTTCCTCAAACGATGTAAGCTTCGACGTCCAGACGGTGAGCTGTACTCTTCTAGCGACTTACGTCTAGGCTTCGACTTGCATGTGTTCGGGCGAAGCTTCAAGTTGTATGGGTGCGATGACTTCACGAGGGAATACTATGCAACACACGGCGAGGAGGTGGGCACACCACTCCCGTTGCCCAAGGATGAGTACACTCTCACTCGTGACCAAATTACGCGCATGTGTGGAGGTGACCCCGACCACTTTTACGGTAAACAACGGTACCCTCTCAAGACGTACATGGAGGCGTCTTTGGGCAATTCTATTCGCTCCCGTCTGCAGTCGGAGAAGAAGCGCAAGTTTCTGGCCAACAACCGCAAGGTGCTGTGTTTCCACTGCGAGTACGATGTACGTGACCGACTCTACGGTGACCTCATGGCGTATATACTTGACTACTTCCTCGAAGATGACACGGTGGAGTTCAAGGAAGTTTCCCGTCCGAACAATGGCCGCGATCCGTTCCCGTTGCTGCTTCGTCGTGGTCGTCTTCTTAAGAATTGGCATCAGCATTTGACGGACGAGCAAGATCGCGGCGTCGAAGAGCCTACGAGTGCAGAGAGCTATTACGGCGAGACAGATCTGTACGTGGGTGCTGTGCTCAACGTTTTTGGCCGTGAGATGCGTCTCGTGGACGCAGACAAATACACGCGCGACTACTATCAAATGGCCTGGGGACGCGTTTTAGACCCTGCCATGCCGATGAAAGTTGAAAAGCTTGTGTTCCCCAAACCAGAACCAGCCCCGTATAATGGATACGGCACAGAGGAAGACTCGCTGGGTTCGTGTCATTCGCTGTGTCCCAAAGCCCCCCGTAAGGACTTTAAGAAGATGGCCGAGTTCGACCGCATGCTGTTGCGCTTCCGTGCGCGCCTCATCTCAAGTCGCAAGGAGCAGCAGCAACGCCGCTTCATTGTCACGTACTTCCTCACGGATGACACGGTCTCCATCTATGAGCCAGAGCTGCGCAATTCGGGCATTGTGAACGGCAAGTTCCTCGAACGCGGTGCTTACAAGAACTTGGAAGGTGTTCGCTATATCCTCGATCACTTGGTGATAGGTGCTGAGCTTGTGTTCAACTCGCACCGCTTCCAGCTGCTCGACGCCGATGAGTACACCAAGAAGTTCCTCGCCTCCTAATTTAGGAGTCCTAAATGCATGACAAGGTAGCTGAAGTGTTTGAATCAGATTCTCACACGTCGCATATTCACGTTTGGAGTTGCGGCGTGTCTTCCAAACAAGAACTCGTAAAACTTTATATGCTGGGGGGGGGCGTTGAACGGCACTAAACCAAGAATGTTGGGGCACCAGACAACTTAAAGGTATGAAACAAAGAATCTTTTATTACCCACTACGCACTGTGTAAAATGATACTGGGGATGATGTCGTGTCTCGGAAATCCTGAAATCACCAGCGGCAACATTATCATCAAAGTAGCGTCCTGCATATCAAGGGAGCAGCTAGTTAGGTCATGCTCGAGTCAGCCTCTGAAGCGCTTACAATTAAAAGTATTGGAGCTGCGTTCCTTTAAGCAACACTTCGGACTCGTGAAGAAATATGAAGACTGAATTGTTTTATGTGCTAGTCCTGCTCTCCCAGATCTCCCACCAACACTCACGGATCCAACCCTGTTCCCGTACAATGGCCCGGCCCAACTGATTCTCATCTTGTATGACAATGTCCCATTGTGCCTGGTCTCCAATATGAATTCCAACACGCCCCCTCGAAGTGCAACTTCGACTACTTAACGTCCTTCCCGCCGGCCAGCTCCAACATCGCCTTCATGCGTTTCTTGTCGAGCAGCTTGGTGAACGTGTCAGCCGGATTCTCCTCACCCTTCACATTGTGCAGTTCGATGACCCCCTTCTCCACCTGCTCCCGCACATAGTGCGACCAGAGCTCAATGTGTCGTGTGCGTCTGCTGTAGGTAGGATTTGGCGCCATAACATGAGCTGTCTGATTGTCAATTCCGATTCGCAGCTTAACCTCATGCTTTGGTAAAATTTCCTGTAGGATGTCCCCTTCCGCTACAGCTTCCATCGTTGCTTCACACGCTACCACATACTCCGCTTCCGCCGTCAATAGCGCAATCATCGGATGCCGTCTCGACATTTATGCAATAGCTCCCACAGACAGCGTGAACAAGAAGCCCGTTGTGGTCTTCCGCTAATCTGGGTCGTTAGCCCAGTCGCTGTCGCAATGTCCCTCAAGTATAACCTCTTTTGTTTTTCGTTGAGCTAATATGTACAGTTAAGAATTCCTGCCACGTACCGCAGTACTCTCTTCAAACTTCCAACATGTTTTGCCGAAGGCTTGGACATAAATCGGCTAAGCTGACCCACCACAAATGCCAAGTCAGGTCTCGTGCTCGTCGCAAGATACATCAGCATTCCAATATCCTCACGGTAGGGGAAGCTCGTGTCAACGGTCTGTTCCTCACTAATTTGTGCCAATCGTAGGTTCATCTCCACTGGATTCCCAACGGCATGGGCATTTTAATACACAAACTTGCTCATGATCTCACGCGCATACTTCCATTAGTGGATTGTGATTCTCTCAGGCGTCTGCTCCACCTTCACACTTAGGTACTCGTTCAGCAGATTGGTCTTAATGCCATATGCCTCGGTCAGCTCTTCGAACAAGTCCTTCTTGCTCTGCTCATCGTTGGTCGCCACTAGTATGTCGTCGACGTACACCAGCACGCACATTATCATGCCCCCGTCAAAACGGTAGTACAAACACGGCTCCGTCAGCGACTGCTTGTATCCGTGCTTAATGAACCAATTGTTCAGCTCCAAATTCCACTCGCGACCCGACTGGTGCAATCCATACAATGCTTTTAACATTGATCTTGCATGGATATCCATCGATGGATCTCAAATACTGTTGGACCCGCTGGCCAGGCATTCAGGTACGCGGTATTGATATCACCGTCATACACCAGTAACCCCAGCTGTGCTGCTAACGCTAACAACAGCCTGAACGACGACATCCTTGCCATAGGCGCGAATGTCTCTTTGAAGTCAATATAAGGTCTCTGATAGTTGCCTGGTGCCACAATGCGGGATTTGAACGAATCACATACCCGTGGTGATCTGACTTGATGTCATACACCCATATCGTGTTTACAGGTGCTGATCCGTCTGGCATTTCATTCGCAGGAGTCTCATCACTCACCCACTTTGCCTTTAGTGCTGCTAGTTCTTCCATCTCTGCTATCATGAAGAAGTCACACCACTTTGACCGCAACATCTCGCAACGATTGCGTGTCATTTCGATCTCGCTCGCACGAATGGGTCTTCCAATCCTGTCCAGTACTCGCGAGGAATTCATCGTCACATTCACCACGTAGTCATCGAGATATGCAGAATGTTGGCGCTCGTGAACCTCTCGAAATCCAGTCCGAGTCTTCTTCACGTCTTTCTTGTCTGCCTCCTGTTCAGCACGCACCTCCTCCGAAGGAGTCTCATCGCGGTGTGTACGCTTGCCAATTTGTCTCGGCACTACCGGCATAACAGAACTTGCATCCACTACCTCTCTGTCTGTCTCAGTTTCAGGTAGCGCATCCTCACCAGTACCCTTTTCTAGTTCTGCATCCTTGCTGCTCTGGTCCTCAGCAAAGATTCTTGCTAGTGCGGTCTCCTCATTACCATCTTGTTCGCCGTGTTCATCCAGGTTATGGTCAGCTGTGTCAGATACACATGTCCCGGCTACAGACACTACTTTGACATCCGCCATGTCGACACTCTCGAATGTCTCCTAGTTGCTCTTGCCCTTACCAGCATCAGTAGCAGCATTGTCAGCCAGCTTACTCGGGTGTTCGTCATCATCTTGCGCGCTTCCGACAACAGCATCGCTGTCCTCATTGACCTCAGCCTCGACGGCTTCACCATCGAGTTGAACTGTTTCTTCACCCACAGCATCACTGCCGGGCTCACTGGGTTGGACATCACCTTCTAGACCATCACTGCCACCGATCCCACCAACGACTTCACCATCGGCATGGTGTACTTGTACATTCAGCGATTGGCACACTTCGCGTCCATCCTCTGTCTGCACTTCAGTACGCTCGTCTCTCTCAAGCTCAGGAGACGACACGTCACTCAGCTCGCTCAAGTCAGTCTGGTCCTCGTCGTCGCCGCGGGTAAAGTCAAGAGAAGAGAGATCATCGTCTTCCACTCCAGTTGCATATCCATCTCGATGCACTACATCTTCCGCAACACGTAGGTCAGGCACTAACTTCGCCGTGTGTTGGTCAGAAAAGTACACCTTACGCCCGACGACATCTTCAGCGTACCCCAGTACAAAGCCGTTTTTTGCATGGTCACTCAGTTTTCTGCGTCCAGAAGTCGCCGGTACATGCACATAAATCATCGCTCCAAACTTACTGACGTGATGTACGTCTGGCTTGGTACCAAACAACATCTCATAAGGAATTCCGCCAGTTCCCTTGTTGTACACGCGATTTTTCACGTAAACCGCTTTTCTCATTGCTTCCGGCCACAGGCTCCTTGGTAACTTCGAGTGTGCCAACCTAGACCGTGTCTTCCAACGACTGGTGCATGCGCTCGCCAGGTTGAGCTGCGAGCTCTTCGGCTCGACTTTCACATGCTCAATCCCCTTCGAACGATATCACGCGTTAATCTCGCCATTGAAAATTCCATGACCCTTGTCACTCAAGATCTGCAGTACCTTGTACGTCGCCCCGTCGGCATTCCGACCTGCCTGTCGTTCCGCCACAATAAATACTCCTGCATGTAGTTGTTCACCACGTTGCTGTCCTTGTTCCTCAGCAGATGTGTGGTGAAGTGCTTCTCAGAAATGAAAGACGGGATCTGACAAGGAGTCATTTTCACAGATTAGTGACAACAACCGGTGGTTAGGGTGGATCTGGATTGCCCAGCATGGATCCATGCTGCTCGAAGTAAATTGGGCCGAGGTAAGGCGGTATCCTATATGGGCCGACGATGGATCTGGCATGGATAACGGAAAGCAAGATCCGCCAAGCGGAGACTCGGATCCACCCTCAACCGATTACACCTAGGGGATATGGGATATACATGTACCATGTGCGGGTGGATCGAGTGGGGGCATATGGAGGAAAGACTGTGGATGTCATCTAGAGGTGGATCTGGTGTCAACAACAAAAGAGAAGGCAGTATCCACCGTGATATGTCTCAGATCTCACTCTTCCAAGTCCAGATCCAAGGGATTGAGGATCCCACATCGAATGACCTGGATTCGGGATATGGAGATGGTGGATGCAACGGATCTCGAACTTTCGTGGAGTGATGGAGACCCCAGGCATTCGTGAGGTGATGTTGGGGGATTGGAGGGCTTAGATCCACACTTGAAGTAAGGCGGATCAAAGTGGCTTGGATCCAGAGCACTGTACCCATAATACGGCGACCGCATTATGATTACGCCATGGATTCGGTGGATCTGATGCTGATACAGCTGGGGTGATAGACCAAGGAGAAAAAGGGCACGCAACCGAGCCGGGTATTGGATTTAGCAGGTAAAAGACATAGAAGGTAGTGATCCAGGCAGGTATAGGCTTAGCTATAAATCAGAACTCAATTTGCACAGTATCACGCAAGTGCCTTCCTGCTGTCAAGAACCGAACTACCTTGGCCGTACGAGCTCGATGAAGGTTGAGAATTGCGAATCTAGTGCTGGTAGGTATAACTAGATAAAACATTGGCCAGATCCTACAGCTTAGTGAGCTTTCCTTTACACGTGCAGATCCGAAGTGTTAACCGGATTTACTACTTGGCCGGGTATACCTAAGAGGCTCTCAACTCGCAAAATCCCGCTACAGGAGGCGGCAAGTACGACGCAAAGAAAAACAAAGGCAAGGGAACACACCCACAGGCAACCCTACGACCAGATCCAAGATCTAGGCCCTGGATCCACTAAGCTCGAATATTCGCCTAGGATCCAGAAACAACTACTTACGCAGAGTAAAGATTTTACCACTACTGCTCCACCCCATCCCCACGCCTCGCCAAGACATTCAGGCTTCACCACTTGAACCCTTCGGAAGTTACCAAGAGAGCAAGATCCCGCCCTACCGACGTGTACACAAGGTGAGGAAAGTTCAGCAGATCACGGATCTTCGGGGGGGGGGGCTCCGTTAGTCGGTGTCTAGGCGCTGTTGGTAAGTTGGATCCAGCAATCTCGAAGATTTTGCTAATCCC